AAGTACTCGCTAAATAAATTTAAAGTTTTCCCATTTAATTAACCCGTAAAAATGATTTTTTTTGCTTAAATTGTCTATAGCATAGCGACATTTTGTGGCATTCATTTGATCATGGGTGGAAATTGGAGAGGGATCATTCCTCTTTAAAGGTTCTTACAGCTAATTTCCAACTTTTGAGTTATAGTGCCAGTAAAAATTGCGTAGTTGTTTTTTTCTCAAAAATCGTGATTTTTCGACTTTTTCTCTTAAACTATTCACTTGACATTAAAATTGCAAAAGACTTTTTTTGTAGAGAATTTAATTTTGTACAAGACTGATTAAAAGCGGAACCTTCAGAGTAAATTGTTTCTGAGATAAATTTGATTAATTATAAGAAAACAATAAATTACTCTACTTTATAGTAATTTTTATATTTTTTAATGAAATTACAGCTAAAAAAAATTGTAGCGTTGTATATTTTTATATTCAATCATTATAATACCTAAATTTTTGAAATTTTGAATTACCTTATGAATATTCTCATAAATATATTTATTATGCATAATATGATAAGTATATAATTATATTTAATCAACTAGACGCAATTGAAACGTATTTTAACTTCCAAATGTTTTTGTTTAATCATTCGGAAGTCTTTGTCTATTCCCACTACTATCAATGCAAAAATTATTGTTTTGAGGTTAAGTATTGTGAATGTAGTTGAGTAAGTGTTCTGTGATGTAGTTTAGTCTATACTTTGTGACTGAGCACATTGTTTCCTTTGTCCTTTCTACACTTTGTGTTGTTGAATTTGTTTCTTTTAACACTTATCGATATAATAAATTAGAATATGAGAGAAGAAATATAATTATTTACTTGGTTTTGAGTATTTAAGTTTAATTGAAAAAAATTACCTACGTATCGCGACGTTATGAATGTCTTTATACATAAACACCGTGGACTTAAAATAACTATTCGACGAAGTTCTAATGAAGTTATTAGTAAATTGAATGATATTTGGAGTAACTTTTTAATTCCTACTTGTCAACGACAACAAAGTATTAAAAATCTTGAAACATTCCATAAAGAGTATCTTAGAGTATCTCTAAAAAAGCCAAAGATATCACTGATAATAACAAATATCAGTACTTGCCAGATAATTGCAAAGAATTTCTCATTAAAAGTAGAGAATCGGTTAATTGTTTTCAATTAGCTAATGAGCTATCAAGCGAATCTGCTATTCCTGATGATCAAGATGTCGATGATTATATGCAACTTGAAGAAGATGCAAACATCATTCAAAGAAAGTTAAGTAAGTATAAATTGAGGTGTATAAAATGTATTAAACATGAATATAAATTATGTTTATTTATCTCATAACTTCTATTATATTTAAAAATATATTTTCTTATTTTTGATTTCTATTTTAGCTTTGAGTCAAAATTCTAACACTTCAAATGCAACTAGTTTCGGTAGTCAATCATCAACCGACAATGAACTGAAACGATGTCACTCCAATTTTGAAGATGAGCTAGAAGTGCCAAAACCTAAAGTGACAAAAAAGAATATTATGACACCTGAACTAGCCTCAGCATTAGATAGAACCAATACAACCGATAGAAATGCTATGCACATTATTTCATCAGTTATTTTGAGTTTGGGAAACAATCCGGAAGAATATAATTTGAGTTATTCAACAATTCGTAATCATCGTATCAAGCTTCGAAAAGATATTGCCGTAAATGTGAAAGATACATTTCAAAAAAATCTCTGCCTTGTCATTCACTGGGATGGTAAATTACTCACTTCAGGATCTTTAAAAGAAGAACGATTACCTATTATTGCTTCTGGAGTAAACGTAGAGCAATTACTCTCTGTTCCAGCGGTAGACAAAGGAACTGGAGTGAAAGAAGCTCATGCAATTTTTACTGTTTTAAATGAATGGAATCTTATTAATTGTATTAAAGCATTTTGCTTCGACACGACTGCCGTAAACACTGGTAAATTTTTATCTAATAAATGTCTTCTATGCGTTAATGATAAACATGATAGAACTAAATTATTTTTTAGGAATTCATTCCGGTGTATGCACTTTATTAAAAAAGAAATTAGATCGTGATATGCTTTATTTTGCGTGCCTTCATCATATTCTAGAAATAATGTTAAGAAATGTTACTGAAATTGCTTGGCCAGTAACTAGCAGTCCAGACGTACCAATATTTAAAAGGTTAAAAGATAATTGGACTAAAATTGACACATCTTTGTATGACATCGGCATAGAAAACGGCATAATTGAAAATGTGTTGCATGATAATAAAAATAATATCCTAGAATTCGTAGAAGATCAATTCCAGGTAAAAATCCTTTTATTCAAATGTGCTATTAACCTTAGTCTAATAAATTTAGAATAATATTTTGTAAAATGTTGTCTTATTTAATTTTTTTTTGTTTTTTTAGCAACATCAGCCGCGAGATGACTACAAAGAGTTACTCGAGTTATCCTATATTTTTTTAGGAGGAGTACCAAAGAACGGGATCAAATTTAAAACACCTGGAGCTATGCACCACGCTAGATGGCTTGCTAAAGCAATATATTGCCTAAAAATATATATGTTTAGGAATCAATTTGTCATAAGTGCATCAGATCTTCGTTCTTTGCGTGAAATTTGTGTTTTTATTGTTACCTTCTACGTTAAAATATGGTTTACTGCCTCGAAAGCAATCCAAGCACCTTATAGCGACCTAGAACTATTTAAAAGTTTGATTAAATACAAACAAGTTCATCCTAAAGTTGCAGAAGCTGCTCTGGATAAATTATCCAATCATTGTTGGTACCTTCATGAACAACTTGCCTGCTTAGCTCTCTTCGACGAGACTGTCACGCAAGAAGAAAAGCTTAAAATAATATATAATATGAAAAATAAAGACTCAACAACAACTAATTATGATATTAAACGCCTGAATGTGACACACGCAGAGAAGGAGTCAAAAAATATCAGTGATTTCGTTAGTAAAGAATCAATCTTTATCTTTAAACAATTCAAATTATCATACGATTTCATAAATGATGATTTTGACTCATGGGATAAAAATGCATCTTATCAAGAATGTCTTTTTACATTTAGTAATTTGAGAGTTGTTAACGACACTGCTGAAAGAGGCGTTGCTCTCATGGAAGAGTTTAATAATTGCTTGACAAATGACGAAGAGCAACGGCAATACCTATTACAGGTTGTTCAAAACCATCGCAAAAATTATTCAACATGTTTCAAGTCTAATTACAAATTATTATCATCATGAGTTGATTCATTCTTTGAGTACGTGAAACAAAATATAAAATGATAAACTGCTAAATAGATAACTTAGTTTCAATATATATATGAAGCAAAATTTGATTAAAATTTTTTAATTAATGATGTATGAACATATGAATATTAAAATCATCACTATTTTTAATGTAAAGATTAATTTCACGTTGGGGACATATCAGTACTTTTTTTGCTGTAGTTTCATTAAAAAATATAAAAATTACTATAAAATAGTCATTTATTGTTTTCTTATAATTAATCAAATTTATTTCAGAAACAATTTACTCTGCATGTTGCGCTTTTAATCAATCTTGTACAAAATTAAATTCTCTACAAAAAAGGTCCTCTGCAATTTTAATGTCAAGTGAATAGTTTAAGAGAAAAAGTCGAAAAATCACGATTTTTGAGAAGAAAACAACTACACAACTTTTTACTGGCAATATAATTCAAAAGTTGGAAATTAGCTGTAAGAGCCTTTAAAGAGAAATTATCCCTCTCCAATTTCCACCCATGATCAAATAAATGCCATAAAATTTCGCTATGCTATAGATAATTTAAGAAAAAAAAATACATTTTTACGGGTTAATTAAATGGGAAAACTTTAAATTTATTTAGCCAGTACTTAAAATTAAAATTAAGAGCTCTCCTTTGGTAGGGATTTTTTTTTCTATGTTTAGAACAATAATTCGGCAATGGAGTGAGAAAAAAAAATAGTCGCATCAAACGAAGCACCCTAATGTATATGTATTATAGGTTCAATACTGAACTTGGTTCCCAATTCAATAAAACTTGATGAATTAGTGTAATAAATGATCCACTTTTCGCAAAAAAACCTTAATTTTTCTAATTAATGCACATTTACATTAAACGGTGTAGTCAACAGACATAATTGTAGGATATTGGGCAAAAGAAAATCGTAAATAGATGGGAGAAATCTGAATCAATATCCACAGAAAATTAATATTTGGACAGGGATTGAAACCATTAGACTCTATTTTATTGATAGAAGTGTAAACGGCCCAACTTAGCTGCATTTTTTAATGAACTTTTTGATTCCAACTTTAATGAATTTATTCCCTAGTGCAAACATTTCCGGAAATATCAATGAAAATCTGTAATATCAACAAAATGAGGCACCGCCACATTATACAGCCGCTATTCGAACATATATTGACGAAGTTTCCCCCATTGAGTGGCCACCAAGGTCACCGGATCTCACGCCATTTGAGCGGTCATCTAAAAAATGTTGTATATAAAAGTAAACCCGACGAAATAGATAATTTAAAAGATAGAATAAGACAAGAAATAAATAACATTTCGTAGGAAACCATTAATAAAGTTCAGCAGTAATTTATTGATCGCTTCGGACACTGTCAATCACAAGAAGGAAGACAATTCAAACACTTACTGTAATTTGTTTAACCATAAAATGTCATTACCAAAAGCGAAGTAACAGTATAATCCAATAAAAGAGACATTAGTCAAATTGAAAAACTGTTCACATTATTTAATGTAGCATGAACCACCTAATCTTATTCTAGAAAATTGAATAATAATAATAACGTCCAAATTTTTCAAAATAACAATCAAATTACCTTCAAGTAATGTAAATATATTTATAAATAAATGAATCTTCTTCAACATATTAAAGTTTTATACAGGGCAATACTTATTGTTAAATTGTGAAATAAAATTAAAAAAATGGACGTTACGCTACGATTTCAATTAACAACAGAAGAACAAAATCTATATTTGAACTTTTACCGAAAATTTTATTTGTGATCCTAAATTTTTCAAGGGATCGTATAAGTTATATTATTTAAAAAAAAATATTATTTATTTACAGTCACATGTATTTTGGTCGCTAGAACAAGGGCAAATCTTTTTAGTCTCCAAAAATATACTTGAATTCGGAAAACTGGCTTGGGTTCCTGGTCTTGTCACACTATCAGCAGCAGCAAAGCAAGCTTTTTCTATTGCTTGCTTCATTGAAATGCCCTTTTCGTTAACTAAAAGATAAGCTAGTGCACCTATAAATTCGTCACCTGCTCCTGTTGAATCTACACATTTTACTTCAGGAGAACTCACATGGTATTTATCAGTTTGGTCCATGTAGAAAGCTCCTTGCTCACCTAATGTTATAATAACGCACTTGCAACCTTTTGATATCAGGTCTAAAGCAGCCAATTCAACTTCTCTGCTATTATTCACTGGCAAGCCGCCTGTAAAAGTTGAAGCCTCTATTTCATTTACACAAAAGATAGTTGGTAGTTTTAAAAGTTGTGGATCAAATTTATTTTGTCCTGGTGCTCCATTTAAAATAGATATGCCTTTACACAATTCCATAGCTCTAATGGCAACACTTTCTGCAGTTTCCAGCTGCAAAATTACAACACCTGCAGTACTTATGATTGTTTTAGCCTCCTCTATATCTTGAACACTAAGTCTTCCATTAGCTCCAGGTGTTATTACTATTTGATTTTCACCTGTATCATCACCAACAATAATTTGTGCGATGCCTGTACTACAATTATTTGTTTCGAAGACATACTGGGTATTTATGTTTTCCTTCTGTAACACCCCAATGTATTTCGGTCCCCAAATATCATCTCCAATTCTGGCTATCATTGCAGCTTTTCCTCCTAATCTTGCTACAGCTACACATTGATTTGCTCCTTTACCACCAAAAAATGTCCTAAACTCCCTACCTTGAATGGTTTCTCCTGGTTTAGGTATTCTTGACGCGTAACTGACAAGGTCTATATTACATGATCCAACAGTTATGATTTCATTAGTAATCATACTGGGTAGATATATCTGAGTGGGATATGTTTATTTTAATATTCCAATACTGGTTTTATGCTTTTCCTTAAAACTTACATACATATTTGTAATAAATATTCTACACAGTACTATTAATTAATATTATTTTAACATTATGAAAAGCCAGTTGTATAAAATTGGTCAACATTTATGGCATTTACAATGGGCAGTTTAAAATAACATGCCAAAAATTTGACGCGCGTTGACGTCAACTGAGGAAGAGAGAAAAGAAGCTTATCTGTTCGTCCCATAGACATCTTAGGGCCATTCGCACCGCTAGTAGTTAAGAAATAAGCGAAGCTTAAAATGACATTGTCAATGGAGAAATGTCATTTTAAGCTTGGCTTATTTCTTAACGACTAGTGGTGCAAATGGACCTTAATATTATCTATCCGATATCTTTGGTTAGTCCTAGTATCATGGTTAAAAATGGCCAGAGGTGGAAATCCGTTTTACGATTTGACTCAAATTTGATATCAAATTTGTAAATAAACTCGAGCAAATAGCTATCTGAAAGTCGATTCGATATCTAATGGTTAAAGTTGATTTTTTAGACATTAGGTATGAACCTGGCCAATGAGGTAAAGCCTTAGGACTGAAAAGCATATAGTTTTCGCATCAGTGCTTTTTCTGAATAACCTCTCCTGCATCAAAGACCTTATATCTTTCTTATATTCTTAAAACATCGATGAAAGGACTATTTATTACATAAAATGCGTCAAAATTTAAACTTACCTAGGTTCTCTTTATATAGCCTAAAATACTATCCACACCAATTTTTAGATAATCTGAAAGGATCGCTTCTTTCCTTTAGCTCATCCTTTCTTTAGCGCCAAGCTCAATTACAAGCAACCTTACATCTCTAAAAACATAGCGAGCATCAACAGAGCGTCAGTCAAAACAACATCCGGTTCACATACTTTGATTTTCTTGTAATCCGGACGAAATAGCGCTCTTCAAAATAGCGTCAGTCCAAAAAGGGCCAAAAAAATTTAGCACAAAATACATATTATATTAATGCTCTTAAACAAACGGCAATGGAGAGAAATATTCTTGCTGATAGGCTGTAGTTGCTCCAAATCCAAATAGATAAAATTATAAAAAGAAATTATAAATTAACCAAAAAATATACGGGAATAGTAAAAAGTATAGCCAAAGTATATTAACCGTTGAGTAGCGACATAAAGTGTCGGTGCCTTTGATCTTGGGTGGTGCAAATTTTCTTTCTCTCTCTTTTGACGTTATTGACGGAACGACACAGTAAAACACTGCTCGAATTAAGAACTGGTCTTGAATGTGATGTTTACACTGCTCGACGTAATTTGAAGTAAAACTCTTTTGTAGTTTACATTTATAATAAAGGTTAGGTCATTAGGCAGTTTTGTATTTATGAGTATTTAACTTATGTAGTAAATATAAAAATATATATCACTTATATCACATGCATTTCCTGACAACGAAAAACCCACAAAACCTCAAAAAATCTTAACAAAAACACAATAAAATAGCACTAATAAATCCACAACAACGAATTCCTATATCAGCTGCCGGACTAAAGTGAAAGGGGTTGTTTACATCTTTAGAAGACGTCTCGCCTTTCTATTTCGCGTCGGCGCACTAGAATTCGGTTTCCCAGCTGTCGCTACTCAACGGTTAATATACTTTGGTATAGCTAGAAATATAAACAATGCAACTAAGCCCACTAAATACTTTACTAGTGAATAAGATCTGGCACAAGAGTGGATCCGAACAGATATCTCACTAACAAAAGCACAACCACAAAATCAAAATAACAGCACTACAATAGAAAAATCTGTAAAAATTAAGGCAGCATCACCTATCATAGTGGATAACGTCCAAAAAGTTAATAAGCTCCATATAGTATGGTAAGACAAATCCCAAACTCTCAAATTAAAATCATCTACAATAATGTTAAAATTAACGTTCCGAAAGGACCAGAATATAGAATGCGTTTTGGAGCATTAACAGAAAAAAATATATTCTTGGTACTCTTTTGAAAACAGAATAGATCAATTAAAGTAATGGCATATAAACTGCACCAGTCTTGCGAACCAACTAATATAATTATTTATTATTATTATTTATTACTCCAAAACTAAAATATAGGACTAAACAACCATTCCAACACGACGAAAGTGTTAAATAAATATATGGAATCATAGAAATTATGGGAGTCTACGTAGAAATTGTACCCCTCAGAAAATCCAAGCTAATACCTCAATGCAAAAGGTGTCAAGCATTCAGACACAATCAAAGGTACCTCCCTAAAGATGTTCTATCTAAATGCGTTCGCTGCGCCAAAGGATATCCTGCTAGCTACAGAGTATTTGAAGTAGCCAAGAAAATACAAAAAATAAACTTATCTGAACAGCAACGGGACTAATCCAACATAAGTTGTTAAAAGAGACAATTTAATATACAAATCTAGATCATTCAGCCAGACGATATCTGGTAAAAAGGAAGATAAAATAGATAAGAATCAATATTCATCCATTACCAATACTCTCCACCAAATATTGGCAAAGCTACAGTTCATCAAATTTCTAGAGGCTTTCGACGGCTAGACAGAGAAAGCACTACTGACAGGCATCCCGACGGATTTACGCAATGAAAGTACACTCTGCGCATCAAGTATTTCACTATTTCATTCAGACGTAAATGTCAGATGTAAATTTCGCTAAAACATTTCTTTTATTTTCGTTTGTGTTTTTTGCTCATTACAGTTTAATAGAACCTAAGTATGGAGTTTAATAGCAAATTAAGAGGCCGCGTGATTAACAGTCAATCTCGCGAAATAATAGCCAATGTTATAGAGTTTATGAGAAGAGAAGGAAACTTTAATTCACCTTCAATACCATTTAAAAATGTAAATGATCGTGTTGCTGCAGCCACAGGAGTATCTAAAAACACTGTCGTCCGCATTTCTGGAGAGAAAAAAAGAATCGATAACCGTGAGATATTGGAATTTTCATCACCAAGAAAAACCATTAAAAAACCAAAAACAGTTAATGATATAGATGAAGCTGCACAAGAATCAAATTTTATTTTGTTATTATTAGATAGCTATTTTTGTTTCTGAGTTGTGTTCATTTACAGGCTCAATTTTTTTCCGTTTCTCCTTTTTGATTTTATATGGGGTTTCAAGTTGTTTTTGACTTATTTCAACGTAAATCACAACACACTTTTTTAATAAAGCAAACAAGTGTTAAGAGGTATATGTACGTGTAAACTACAATTACAAAAAATTGATATGAAACCCATGAAACCACCAACAAAAATGTAAAGCTAGCTTCCGTACTAGAACATGGTGTCATTCGTCGAGATAATTTATCGTTTTGTTTAATAGATCAAGAAATGTAAATATCCCCCTGTTATTTTTTATAAAATTATAAGAGAAATAAATTTTTTTCTAAATAGTATAGTTTATTATTTTGTAGAAAAACAAAATTTCGAAAATTTTAGTAATGTTTCAGAAACAACCGTTATTAATAATAGGTACCATTTTCCTTAATAAGGTAGAAATAAAATATAAACTATTTCCACGATTTACAAAGGCCTACAAAAAAATTATAGGTATTTTCCGCTATCCTATAAAATTTATATTTTCTGACTCAATTTCAAAAGGTTGAAGGAATTCCAAAACACCTTTTATGGCATAATAATTATTTTCAATTCTACATACTATCTTTAGCTGCTTTTAAAAACGTTCTAAGAAAGTCCAATCAGACCAATTTAATCCCTAAACTATTCCACACTTTTAAAATTTAATTACCTAAAAATATTAAAAACTATTTAAAATAACTTGTTTAGCAGACTGTACAATAGCTATCTTAGTCACACGTAGCGCGTTCTCTGTCTGGGCGTCGAACACCTCTAGAAATTTGATGAACTGTAAACAAAATGAATGAACGAATTACTAGGTTAGAATATAGTAGCAAAGGAGCTAACCTAAGAGACAATATAATGAGTAATAGTCTAATAATAATGGAATGGATTGCTAAAGGACTACTGCAGCACCATTTAAGGGATATAAGGTTTTTCATACCATTCATCCCAAATTGCAGCAAGAAAGGGTAGCGCAGTATTAATTAGAAAAGCGGAATAGAGGACCGAAGAATTTCAGGGAACTTCAGTAATGATTAAAACTAAAACATGATATTATGTTCACTTCTACATATTTTCCTTCAAGACACCGTTAAAATAGAACAATACCTAGACTTTCTCAAGGTCAATGAAGGCGACTTCAATGCAAAAAACACCCATTGGGGCTCCAGACTAACAACAGCTAAGGTTAAAAACCTAAAAGAAGCAATGACACAGCTAAAATGTAAGTCGCATTCAATTGGCAAATTAAGTTATTGGCCCACAGATAAAAATATAAAATACCCGATTTAATACTCTTTTATTGTACGAAATATTTCAGCTAACTAAATCCAAGTTGATGAGGCATGGTACATGAATTTAGATCATTCGACCATTCTTTTTACTCTTAGTGACACTATTATCTAGAAGGAAAAATAATAAACATGACAACTGACTGGCAAAGCTTCAGACTTTTAGTTTCGTTAAGAAAAAAAAACACAGGTAGTTAAAGAAGTAGAACTACTTGTGTCCAACATACAGCAAATCTCAAATGCGATTGAAAAAGCATTAGAAAAAAAAAGTCTGTTTAGCCACCTTTCTCAATGTTGCGCAGGATTATGATAAAGTACTACTGCCACAGCCATACTAATAGCTACTGGATTTATACATTTCAGATAAATTCTTTAGAGTAACCCAAGATGAAGTATACTCTAAATTGAAAGAAATTAAAGCAGAAGTACTACAATGAAGCGTCCTTGGACCCACTAAGTATATATCATACAAATGTGACATACCTCAATTAGAACAAGACACAACAGGTACATTTGTAAATGATACTGCCATTCTAGTGATATACAAAAATCATGAAAAGGCAAATAAACTACAAACATCAGGTAATAAAATACTTGGTCCAAAAGATGTTAATATTAATTTCACTAACAAAAATGGTCAACGAATACCAAATACAATAAATAATGCCCAGGTCCCTTTAGCTAACTCAGCAAAATATCTAGGTATTACATTAGATGCAAGACCGCTGGAAGGTCTATGTTAAAAAGAAAACACAAGAGTTAGATATAAAATTCATGAAAATGTACTGGTTAA